TGATGTCACAGAAGAAGTGGTGGACATGATTGGGGCCACAGAAATGCAGCCGGGAGGTCATGACCGTGTGCATCAGGGCGTGCAGGAAACCACTGGACCAGGTGGCCCCTGCCAGGAGCAGGCAGACCCGTGGGTTCATGACCAGCTTGTAATGCAGTGGGTTGCAGATGGCCACATAGCGGTCATAGGCCATGACAGCCAACAGCACGGCCTCGCTGCTGCCAAGGAAGTGGAAGAAATGGAGCTGGATCAGGCAGCCGGTGAAGGAGATGATCTGATGTTTCGAGAGGAAGCCAGCCAGCATCTTGGGTATGGTGACCGTGGAGCAGCAGATGTCTAGGCAGGAGAGGTTGCCCAAGAAGAAGTACATGGGGGTGTGGAGCCGGGGCTCAGCCAGCACCACGGCCATGATAGCCCCATTCCCCAGCACACTGGTCAGGTAAAGAAGGAGGAAGAGAGTGAAGAGGAAGCACCGCAGCTCCTGGAGCTTGGTTAGACCCAGGAGGATGAACTCACTCACTTCCGTCTGGTTCTCCATCGCTGCAGGGGGAAGAGGAAATGCCATAATAGAAATAAATGCAGCAATCCCCATGGTTTTTATTTCTATATGCACCTTCCATCTAAGGGCCCAACAATGCCTGCCAGTTATTAATTAATACTTTCCATGGCTGCTGTGCGGTAACATCCCAATTTCACAGATGAAATAATGGGGGCTAAGAGGGATAATGTGCCGTGTATTTTTATGTCTACATTGTAGTATTGAGGACTGTATTGGAATAGCAAGGCATCACTTTAAGTGTGTTTGAATGTGGAGGTGCTTTTCTTGTCATGCTCACAGGCTGGGGGAGAGGGCTCAGTAGGAAAGTATAAGAGAGGTAGCTCAAAATACAGTGTGGTGACTTGTGCCTCTCTGCCTCAGGGAGCACCCTGTTTTTTCTCTCTTTGTTTTTGGATTATTGTATGTAGTCATTCTACATTAGAAGAAAGAAAATAGTGGTATGTTGCAACTTATTAAAGCTAGCTAAGGAGGTCACTGGATATCTAATATTGATTTTCCTTAACTTTTGGGACACTGGGTTAGTTCAAGAAGATTGGAAGAAATCTATTGATGGGCACATTCTTAAAAAAAGATAAACGGGATGACCCGTGTAACTATAAGTCTATCAGTCTGACATAATTTCCAGGCATGGAGTGACTGATACAAGACTTGATTAATAAATAATTAAATGGGGATAGAATAATTTATTCCAAATCATGTGGGTTTATGGAAAATAGATTGATAGGTAGCACAATTTTGGCCGATAAAAGAAATAGAATTCATGCAATATACTTAGACTTCTGTAAGGCGTTTGATCTGGTAATGCAAAACAATTTGATTAAAAAATTAGAAAGAGACAAATTTAGTATGGCATACATTAAATGGATTACAGACTGGCTAAATGATAGGTCTCAGAATCTCACAGTAAACAGGAAATTATGATCAAACAGGTGTGATTTTAATGGGAACCCCTAGGGCTAAATTCTTGTCCATATGCTGTTGAACATTTTTATCAATGAACTGGAAGAAAACATAACGTTTTCAGATGATGCAAAAATTGGGGGGTGTTGCACATTTTAATTTAATAATGATTCAAGATTGTCAAATAACAGGCTCAAATGGCATTATTTAATCTAAGATTATTAATCAAAGATTAATACAGTACTATGCAGAATACAGAAAGTATCGACTCTTTACCATCCCCTGTTGATGATGAAGAAAAGGTAGTTTGGGCCCTTCCTCTGTACTTGATAGAACGCTGACAGTGTTCATACCCAATCTAACTTTGCTTTTATAAAGTGTCAGACAACTAAACTCCTTTTTTGGGGGGAAATCCTTTCCTGAGCTTAACTCCACCATGTGTTTTGTTTTCCTAATTACTGATAGACTTTCTTTTATGGTTCTCGGTTTACCTGACTGATGAGTAAAAAGAAATCTCTAACACGGACATTATTACTAAGAGCTGTGACAACCGACAGTTCTCAATGAGTTAAAAACATCTTTCAAAGGGTCATTATTTTCCTCAATGACAAAACCCCTTTGCAAAAGCAAGTATCCCTTATCAACCAGCCAGTTTTCTTTATAACATACATTTGTAGATATTTTCATTAGTTTGAGTGTTTTTTCCCCCCAAACACCTGGACTCTATTAGTAAAGACAGGTTAAAAATGTTACATACATTCCATCATAGAGACCATTTTCCCTTCACCCATCAGGTTAAATTGAAGGACAAGGAAATTTTTTTAGTTGAAATATATATAGGACAATAAATGTATAGATACACGAAAAAGGCTGTTGGCTTTTCAAAGAATTCTCAGGGTTTAACATACAAACATCATAAAAAGCGGAGTTGTAAATAATGAAGAGGACAGGTTGCTGATACAGAGTCATCTGGATCAGTTTGCAAACTGGGTGAATTTTTAAGTTGCACAGTCAAGCAAGATAGTATACAGTTGCTCGTGTAGCCATAATTCTGCCCCTTGTGCATCCATCCTATGCACTGAACAGGACAGCTCTCTTGTGGAACAAAAGAGCATATGATCAAGCAATGAAAGAGAGTATCATAATGCATACGCACAAGGGGGCAGCGCTAAGGTTGCACAGCAGTTGTAGAATCTGGCATTTCCCAGCTGCTGAGTGTAGTATTTGACTTTGCAACTTAAATAATGTTCTTTTGTGCATTAATTCTTATTCTGTGCAACTATAATAGCCCCCCTCATGCCGCCTCAGCAGGGTTTAACCCTGAACCCCGAGCTCTTACTACTTAAACTACACAACAAACTACATGAGCTGCCAGCAGACGACTGCTAGTCAAGAGATGAGCGGAATAGAAGAAGTCAGGAGCTTCCCACAGGTTCATCTGCATTGGGCTGCTCTTTCTACTCTGCTGTGGATAAAACAGATATAGGGAATCTGTGACACAGCCAGAGAGCTGCTGGGTGCTAAATATGGATTATGGGCTGGAAGTTAGGCACCCATATCCCTGTGAGTTTCAATATGAGGCTGGCACCGAGAGCCCTTAGGCCTTTTTGAAAGTCCCAGCCTATAAGCTTGTCTCAGTTTTGGGACTAATGCCAATATCTAATGCCATATATCATCACAGTTTCTTTTGGTTCCTGTGCTTGAACATCTTGGCCATGGAATCAACTGCCTGAAGGCAATGAATGCATCAGATCTGTCGGTCTGACAGCCCCTCTGTGCATGAATTTGTCCCCCATATCCTCCTCCCTTGCTTCCCCACACTCCCTCCTCTCAAACAAAAGTGTAACAGAAAAAAACACAAGCCTTGATAAGAGGGCAGGATGAGAGAAGGACATTACTCAGATGCTGCCTTTGGTAGCACCTAGGGCCCCGTTGTGCTAGGCACTGCACAAACGCAGAGTGAGACAATCCCTGCCCTGAAGAACCAGACTAAGCAAACAAGACTGAGAAAGGGGAAACACGTTTTCCAAGGTCTTACCCCAGCTAATCATGGCAGAAAGGGGGAACAGACTCCAGCTCTCCTGATTTGTAACCCGGTGCTCTACTCACTGAGCCAGGCTGTCTTGCAACCATTGGCTGTTATGGCTACTTGCCTTTGTGGAGTCAGAAGCTTTTCAAAGGAGTCTGAGGCCCTTTGAAAATCTTACCCTTGGTGAGTCTCTCATGCCGTTTTCTTAGAGCTCAGCCAGGGTGGTTTTGGTCCTCCTTGTAATGGAAACAATAACAATTGCTGGCAAGAAAGGGCAGTGAGGAGAAATAGCAGGAATTTCTGTCTGTTCAGAAAGGAAGAGAGATGCGAGCTCCTATTGACTTGAATATCTGGATGGTTGTGCTGAATCTGTGGCACAAATGAGCCTTTTTATCATATTCACTCCATGGGGGGAAACCAATTTCCATTCTCTGGATGGCTCCCATGGGGCAGAATGTCTGAACAACAGGAGGGTTACTGGTCTGTGAATAACAAGCCAAGCATTCCCTACAGAGATGAAAGTCAAGCATTATTGTGCAGACAAGAGCTGCTGGGAAAATAAGTAAACAAAGCAGTGATCCTAAGGGAATTAAGTGCTCAAATCCCTTTGAATATATTTGAATATCCCAATCTAAAAAAATAAGACTCTGGTTTGCAAATATTGTGCTTTACTTCATTTATTTATTTATTTACTAAACCCACGGAATTTGGTCCACCACGATTCTGTATGTAGTTCCTTGTGATTCCTGGTCCCATTCGGCCATGAAGGATTAAAGCAGATGTAGCAAATTAGATGCAGTTTGCCGAGCGTTATAGTATCTATGACCACTTTGGCTAAAACCCCATCCTGGTTCAGTGGTGACATGAAGGAAGCAGAAATATTTTTTTAAATGAAAATATGAGGCAGTTGGTAGCAATTGATGTAAATTGGAAGTTCTGAATGTAGACATTTGATAAGGAGATCTAAATACATCAGGAAAGAAATTAGTGTAGAGAATAGGAGTAGAGGTGATTTACCATCTATAGACTTCATTGGTGAGACCGATATTTGAATTCTGCATACAGTTCTGGTTGGAGTGCATATTTTAAAACTGATGTTGAAAATCTAGAGAGGGTTCAGAGAAAGCCCATGAAATATATCTGAAGTCTGGAGAAACACTTTACAATGAGAGCTTACCAAAGAGGAGATTGATAGAAGACTTGATTACACTGTAAAAATTCCTTCATGAGGAGAAAATAGCATGGCTCTTTAAGCTAGTAGAGAAAGGCAGAACCAACCACTGGTATCTGAAGCAAAACAAATTAAAAGGAGAAATAAGGTACCCATTTCCAACAGGAAGGTTGATTAACCACAGGAACAAACTCCAAAAGGGCAGTGTTGGATTCTCCTCTTTTGCATCTCAACCCCAAAAAAACAACCAGTGCTCAAGTGGGGCCTAAATGCTCTACTGGAACAGCATCCAGGACTTTTTCTGAGAGCTGCAATGGCATTGTGGTACGTCTTTCAGGGGCACAAGGAAGGCTGTGACTGGAGCACTGGGGAAGTGTTGGGTCCACACCTCCGATCCCATAGCATCAGAACTCAGGCCGGGGCTCCCCATTCAGCAGGGATGCTGATTCCCTGTCCTATTTTGTCCTGTGTGGGCAATGGGTCCTTCGGACTTGATGGGCATGGGTGGAAGAGGAGGCGGTGGCTGTGCCTCCATTCAGAGCTAGCCAAGGAGGGGGCCTGCCCCTTCATTGTGCCCCTGTTCCTGGCTCTCCTATGGTAAGAACCATAGGCACCCCTTCTTTTACTGCTGCTCAGGATGAAGGGACCCAGAGGGATGGATAAATCAAATCTGAGTTGCTCTGTAATGATGCCAATCAAATTTGGTCCTCTGTCCCTCTGTCTCTACCTATGCAGGGGTGGACACACCAAAACTGAGTGGCACTGTGACCACGTGGGCCAGGTCACAAAACCCTGAATGGGGAGCCAGTCACAGTCCCACAGGACAGGAACTGCCACTGGGGTCATGGACTTCATTCCAATTCACAGTTACTATGAACA